GGGGGGGGGGGGGGGGGCTGGCCCCAGCCGTTACCGAAAGGATGCGAGCTGAACCCGGTGTGGTTTGTCCGGTAGAGGAGGGGTGACTCACGCAGGTGCCACAAGTGGAGGCTGCACAAATAAAAGATCTCATGCAGAAAAGGAGGAAATACTATTTTTGAGCTGAAGAGCTGCAGTGGAGCGGGGCCCTGAGAGGCAAGAGTTGTGCAAGAGCTGCGGTGCAGCTGCAAAGGTAGAGGTGGCAGCAAACGAGCCAACCTGTTGTCAGGACCTCGGCGTTTATCACCAGCGCCTCCGAGATGGGTATCAGGGCTTTGTTGAGAGGGAAGTCGTACGCTTCAGTGGAGGAGAGCGCTTTAAAACAACACGTTCGCCCTGATGCAAGGGTTATGTGGGCGCCTCGCATTTTACTGCTTTTTTGTGGGGTTATTTTTGTGGGCAGGGGGAAGCACACAGAAAGCAGATTCCCGAGTGCCTTCAACCATACCAGCACGGTCAGACCAGGCCTCATAAGTTATCTCTTCCTCCTGCTGCTAATAAAAGTCCAGAGATTTCTGCTTACGAGGGGGATGAGGAAGAGCCAAGGTGCGCCACGGGCAGCCCAGGGACGAGTCCCCGGCCCCTCGGGGCTGCGATGCGGGACCCACGGGACACCTCTGGGGACTCCCGACATTCCCCCCTTAATTAATATGGGCTTGGCTGATAGCCCACAAACGAGCTCAACTCTTCCGCACGAGCTGACCTTGGATTGCACTTGGATATGCAAAAACCTTTGGACAGAGGAGATTGCGACTGCTCCAGGCTCTGCCCTGCAGACTGCGCTCCCCCCAGCCAGCCGGGCTCCCTGCCTCTCTCCTCGCAGCCACTGAGCATTGCCCTTTTCCATAGGAAAAGGATAAAGGAGCACCTCCAGCTCCACCAGCATGTGGGCATTCGGTCCCCCTGCTCAGGAACTCCAGGGGGGCCAGAAAACGCTGAGTTTGCACCAACATTTACTACTTGCACAGCACTTCGCAAGCTCCGAGCCCTAACTTCTTTTTCTGTGAGACCCAGACTTGTGTTTGCTGTAGGAAGGACAGAAAAAGAAATCTGGGGGGGGGGGTGAGAAGGACCTCACAGAGAATCAGCACCGTTTAAAAGCGCGGATGAGTCCCCGAAGGCCTCGCAGCGCTTTGGCTTCACAGGACATCCTTTATGGAAACCTGATGGACATCGCACTGGCTCCAGGCACGGGCAGCTACGATGCACGGATGATGCCCGCACCCAAGTCATGGAGGCTGACCTGCCGTCCAGCGACGACTTGGACCTCCCGAGCATCGCACAGCATCAGGCCCTCAGGATCTCCTTACCAGATCCCCTTTATGAATTTATGCCATCTCGTACTGAAGCACATCAGAGGCTTCCAGGGCTGTCCCCCCCCCTCCGAAGCAACTGACTCCCCAGGTTTTCCAGAGGCGCAATATCCCACCAAGAAGGACCACCCTCTTCTGGCTCAGTCAGTGAGATGACAAGAGGGATTAGGCTATAGGAAAAGCTTTACAGCAAAAATTCCCTCTCACCTGCCTCCCGATATAGGCAAGCACTTGCCAGGAAGCACCCCCAGGACGCCAGCGCTTCGCCGCGCTGTCACGGCTGCCCGCGCCCCGCTCTGTCCTGCTCCCGGCACTCGCCGCGCAGCTACAGCCGCGGGAGCGCGACCCACGGAAACCCCCAGCAGGAAAAGCCAAGACAGCGGGAGACCCGACACGCAGAGCCACGCAGGCG